CATTTGGGATCAGTTTGCACCTTTGAGGCAATGTCCAAGGTTGATGCATGAGCTAGCAGGAGTTAAAGGCTACTATCAGGTGTGATATGAAGATTCACCTAACACAACACTGAGTAAGAAAGCAAATAAAGGAATTTCTTCATTAAAGTCTCCACACCTACGAACTGTCCCTGGTAACTTATTTTCAGGTACCAGATGTCCAAGAACTCTTCCCGTGATTTTTAACGACTATGTACCATCACTGAGAAAATATACACCAGTCTGGTCAGTCCTGCCCACGTGAGTTGTGCTTGGCTACTTGAATACAATTGAAATTAGCAGAAAAAAAAAAACTTGGGGATCCGAGTAAATGCTGATCAAATATTACATCGTCTTAGTTTCCCTGAGTATTGATTCTTTGTTTACTTGTTTGCATTTTCTTTGTTGGAATGAAGAAAGATCTATCTTAGGTGCAAAATTTCAGCCATTAGCAGAGTTGGGATTGATTTGGCTACTCGGACCCACTTTTTGGTTTTTATCCATGCACGATCGATCACCTTAAAAGCTGTAATGGGTAATGGGTGCGTGCAGGGATGCATGCTAGCTAGCTCTTAGCTCAAGGATGACTGACCTCTTGGGTTGAATTACAAAGTTTCAGAAGAGAGAGATCTCGTGCAATTAATTAATAACTAGTAAGTGGCTCCTATGGCCAAGCACATCCTTACCATGCATTAATAATCAATGCAACCCTATAGCTACCTTGTCATAAATTTTAGCTTCCTAATGTTCAGATTCAACGCTTCTTCTCCAGCAAAAGAATGGATGAACCAGACGGGTTGCAACTTATTACCAAACACTGCATTTTCCCGCAAGTATCTCATATCACTTGGTGATTACTTCCACTGAGCTGTCGACCCAACTCTTATAAATTAATGGTGTGGCACAACAAGCTCTCTCTCTTCACCTGTGCAATCCCCCTCAATTTCCTGAGAGGTTTGCAACTTTGCATTAGAACCAATAATTAATTAAGATCGACCTATAAACAGGCTTATTTCTTCCATACTTGGATCGATCTGCCAATGGAAAACTCAGCAACGCAAATATATATATATAGATCGATCGATGCATGCATGTATGCGTCTAATGGCCAGGTGGCAACTGGGTGGACCTTGCTCAACTCACCTAACCTAACCTATCGGTGTTATACTATAGCCTATAGGTACTGCTTCACATTTCCTGTGTGGACCCCTCAGCCTACCCTACCCTACTTAATATCGTACATCCATTTTCTTTTGTACTTCTACAACTTCAAAACTGACCTACCTACAATTCTCACGTACACATCCATATCTTTGTGCTCCCGAATCCCGATCGATAACCTATTTCATCGATTAATTGGCATTCCTTACTTTAAGGACTTGTCTTCTTTTTGCTGTTCATAGGGCATTTTCACTGCAAAAAGTTAAAATTAGGAATGCCAAATGCAGCCTAACATTAACAAGATTGGCCGGATAAGGGATAACCACTCACTAATCCTGATGCACAAAAGTGTTCTTAGTCACCAAATGATAATTAAGCATATTTTGCAATCTCTGCTACTTCAATGAAGAGTGGATCTGCTAGCTAATGGCCCAAACAAGAAGCTTCTCTGCAATCTCTGCTAGTGAAGGATCTTTATGATGTAGAGTAAGGTCAATGAAGAGAGGATCGATCTGCTAGTGTATTGGCCACCTTCAATGAAGGTAACCAAATGATACTTTTGTTTGTTATGGCCAATTTCTATTGGCCGATTTTTTTATCTGTCCTCTTGTACATGTTTGTATGGGTCGACCTTTTTCGGTCCTTGCCTGACTGATGGGCCAAAACTCTCTTGTATCTTCTCTCTCTCTTTTTGCTTTTTAACAAAATTTTATTTTTACTACCAAAAAAATTAAAGAAGCTTCTTTGCAATTTCGGCCAATAGAGTTGGGTTTTGGCCTTTGGAAGGGTGGACCTGATAGTGAAGTTTCATTGAAGCTTCTCTGCAACGGAAGGCCGGATCGGTCCCATTTTTGCATGCAATGATAAAATACAAGAGACTGGTAGCCATTCACAAAGTAAGAAAATATATATAGAAATATGAGCAAGAATAAGAGGAATGCATTAGTTTTAGATACTTGAAGCTGTTCCTCTCAATGTGTGACTTTAGTCCTGAAACGTTCAATTTGTAGTTCCGTACGTCTTGATTAATTCAATGCCAAAAATCAATCCAAATGAGTTAATCTAATAACCGGCTATATATAAGATTGGATTTTCTTTCAACAATCAAAATAGTATTTATTAATTTCTTTGATGATTAGATTTAGAGGAATCCAATAATCTCTACAGAAAAGGACATCAATTCAGCTTCAGCAGCTATTGCACAACCATCCGGATCAGAAAAATGAGTAAAACACAGACCCATCGTTTGGCTCACTCAGTTTTTATTCCAACATGGATCGGGGACCCCAAAAGAAGCCTAGAATGAAACTTCTATAAACACAAAAGAGCTATCTATATACGAACACAACTGTCTAGGCCAGTAAGTCAAAGAAAATAGATGAGAATAACCGTTGGATGTGACAGGTGGATGATCAACTAATCCATGGATCGAACACGGCTAGCTAGGAGTTAATTAGTATCATCCAATCAATTTATAAGATTTTAAGGAGTACCATTTATTGGTGCACCAACTCACCCAATAAGCACACACTTATGATTTTGCAGGGTTACCATACCATTATTCATTAAGACATTAAAGCTGTATTTTGTGGGTAGGCCAGTTTCTTAGAGGTACGGCAAGATCAATTTAACGCCGTCCACAGTAAATAATTTCAGGGCCGAGTACCTTACTGATACTTGTTCTACAAAGAGGGTCCTGCTCTGATGGACCCAACCCAAACAGATGGTACCCAAGATCCCATGTTGAAACAACATCTGGTGGGATGATCAGAACCACTCGATTAGAGGACATGGAGTGACTGGTTAGATAGATCAGTGATTAGGAGATCATCTAGTGCATGGGGCCAGAATAGTAGTATATATATATATATATACAATGAGTCGGTCTTATTCCATTTTAATAATTTTAATGCGTATATTGGCCACCTTGAAATTGAATGAAGAAGGTATTGAATATATAATTGGAACAACAACTATATGGGTGAAATTTTCAAGGGGCACTCCCATAAATATATCTAAGAAACAAGAGTAACTTCTGACATTTATTCTCATAAGTGGGAATAGGTTGAATGAGTTTCCACAATTGGAAAGGGAAGGCTTAATGAAGTAGGAGGGGAGGTGGGTTGGGAGCATTTAACAGAAACCGGTGGTGGGGAGTGATGAAGAAAGGTATTGTAGAAGGAGAGCTGTGTAAATGCTCATCCTTGAATTTTGCATTTATTAGAATTCAAGTTGAGTTAATGAAGGCAGGTGGAGTTCAACCCTGTGCCCAATGACCAGCTTCTACTGAAGCCTTTAATGGGTTTGGCCGTTTTTCTTGGCTTCCCTTCTTGTCTCCCAATATTCCCAATTGTTTTTTTTTTTTTCTTTTAACTTCTCAGGGGCTAACTTACACAATTACCCTTAGTTTGGAAACAAGTAAATATTAACCGTGTATTTCTCTTTGTAATTGTGGTAGTGGTTTGAACTTTGAAGTAATATATATCGTGTTTATTAGGTAGTAGGCCTGTCACCTGCGGCCCCTTATCTTATTATTTTGTAGGTGAGGTATGGTTAGGGTCACTTGAATATTGTAACTCATCCCCCCTCTCCCCTGCTAGCTAGATATATCAATCCCATTCAAAATTTACCAAAACCCACATCAAATTTAAGTCTTAATCAATTAATTTGCCTTTTCTGGCTTTAATTATTTGAGAATGGAAAATCTGTCAAATATCCCAATTGAGTTGGCTGTTTTGTTGATTGTTCCTTCCTGTTAGTGCTAACTAGCATACTTCTTTAACTTAATTATTCTGATGATCAAATATATCAATGATTTGACCCCCAAAGATTGGTGCTTCAAAAGTACTTTAGAGTTTAGAGTTTAGGCCATCTCATTAACCTAACACCAATAAATGCAGTCTACTGGACAAATTTGGTGCTTGCTTTTTAATAACTGATGATGATAGAGAAGAAAATAAAAGAAGGGTAGTTTAATTCTATAAAGGGTAAAAAGGTAATTGTAATATGTTTTAGCACAAGAATAAATAAAAATGTTCACAAAAATAACATGAGTAGAAGTTAATATGAGAGCTAGGGGGGTTTGGTGGTCAAAGAAGACGAGGAAGAGAAAAATTAAATGGCGAAGAAATAAAACTATTCAGGAAGAGTAGTGATGGGAAGAAATATTGGCATTCTGAAGAGAGAGAGAGAGAGAAAGAGAGAGAGGGGTTATTTAATTCATGCCTCATAGGTTGTGGTTGTTTTAATAGCTCCTGATTTAAGGGTGTTGAGAGGCTTTAAAGTCAGTTGTTTGGGCAACCCAAGTGCGGAAGTTGGATTTATTGAAGAGCGATAAGCATTCAAACCTTCTTCAACTGTACACAGACTCCACCATTAAATGATCTTTCCATCCCTTGCTGGCTTGCTCTCCTCCTATGTATGATTGTAATTTCTCTCTCTCTCTCTCTCTCTCTCTGAATGCCACAGCTTATTGCCATTAACTCTTCAAGCCAAGCTAGCTCTCGGCTTATTGGCTTTAGCTTCAGCAGTTAGCCTCGAAGTCGAGGATGATCTGGAAGCGTAACAGGCATTCTTTGTACATGACATCAAGTCACGTAAGAACCCAGGTTGGTTGGTGTTGTTTTCTTCCATGAAAACCAACTTAATTTTGAGGTCTCGTTGTAAATACACTAGGAGAGCGCATAGGCTACCTTAATTGGCTTTAACAATCGTTCGGAGCTAAATTCAATGAACGAGGTGGGACCTTTTAAATGTCCTTTTAAAGCTGCTCTATTAGATTCTGGCTTTCAGTCCTTTCTTCTTACAAATATGGCTCGAAATCAGTCTATATAAACCCGCTTAGAATTCAGCATTTGATCACACAGAGGAGGAGTCAGCTGAGAGAAGAAGAAGAAGAAGAAGAAGAAGAAGAAGTGAGTGCCCTGATTTTCCTTCAAAGATATCACCTCTCTAAATCAAAGGAGAACACCATGTTAGAGTTGGAGATTTCGTCAAAGAAGAGGAGATGGGAAGAAATAGATGTCAAAGAGGATTTCGAGAAGCAATCAAAGTTATCAAAGGCCGTGGTTGATATTGAGCTCCAACTCGAAAGGCCCTTACCTGTGGAGTGGCAACGATGCCTCGATATCAAGGTATATAGCGTATGTCAAAAAGATTGCCTATATACGCTTATCATCATCATCTATCCTTTCAATTACAGTAATAGAAATGCAGCTAGCTGATCGCCTGATCCTATCCAGGGTAGAAAGATAAACGAACTAATAATGTTTTCTTGTGTTTTATCGATGGATGCAGTCTGGACAGATACACTTCTTTAACACCAGGACCCAGAAAAGAACCTCTAAGGATCCAAGGCAAAGCCCAGAGCGTTCGAGTCCCAGCAGCAACATCAGCTTGGACCTGGAGCTCAACCTCACTTGCGAGTCCCTTAGGAGCCGGAGCCAGAGCCAGAGGGATGACAATTCGACAAAGAGTGAGACCGGTGATGGTGACCTCCCACACAACAATTCAAACAATAGTATAATTCCACCATCCAAGAATTCCGGCAGCTGCTACGGCAGGATGGCACCGATTACTCCTCCTTCGTGGGTGTCATCGGAATCAGATGAACAGGAAATGGTAGCGGCCGTGTGCAAGCGATGTCATATGTTGGTCATGCTATGCAAGTCGTCTCCTGCATGCCCCAACTGCAAATTCATGCACCCTCCGGACCAAAGTCCTCCCAACCTACTCAAGCCAGGCTTTAGGCTTTTGTGCTGTAAGGATTAAATCAGGCCTACTGCCTCTTTTATTAAGATGCCAACTTAGTACCACCTAGCTACTCGTAGTCTTGTCTTTAACCGTTATTTGGCTCATCTATCTATATAGGCTCTATTCTCCGGCCTCAACCCACTTTTCTCCTGTAAGAAGAGAAAAAGCAAAGACCCAAAGAATAATACTAGAAACTATAAACTCAGAGGGAAAGAGAGAGTAAATTCTGATGATGTAAATAGACAAGAAATGGGGTTTTCTGTAAGGATTGCTCATTATCCTATTATCTAATCTAATGTAAAAGAAGGAAAAAGTAGTGCATTAACTTTTAATTAGGTTTTACTCTTTTAGCTAGTAGTTCTTATTCTGATTTGTAGAGATGTTTCTATTATGGATTTGTTACAGCTTTACGTGACCCTGACGTGTGTTCACTCTAAGGTGAAGGCGAGATCACACAATTAGATTCTTGTGACACCCAAATGTATATTGACCCATATATCTTTTTGGGTGAACGTGAAACTGAAACCCTTTAATTTCCATAAGTTTATTATGGGAACTTCACTACGTCACTTCTATAACTCTTAACCCACCCACCCTCTCCTCCCCAACATCAACCCTCCACCAATTCCTATGCGTTACTTGTAGTCTTGTACTTTCAAGTGTCGAGTACCATACAGAGTCAGCCTCTGCCCTTTAATAGAATATATATAATAACAAAGACAAAGGGTCTCTGGTTAAAATTTGTCTTGACGTCGTTAGAATATGAATCTATATATACTTTCTAGTATTCCGTATATCAAAGGTCTCTAGCCCAGTTTGACAAGTGTTTGATTTCTGTTTGAATTTTGTTTTGATTTACGTCTTTTAAACTTTTCTTTTTATATATTCCTGCTCCATTCGTATATGGTAAAAACATTTACAGTCTTTTTGTTTTGGGTGAAAGTGGGGTTATGGGTTTCAGTTGCTTAAAGTAGCTAGGAATTGAAGATGCGTTCACTTCATGCGTGTATGCTTACACCCACTTGTGTATGTGTGCGGCCACACGCGCACAGACTATAATTAATCATGGAAATAAGAATTTTTTATTAGTTATTAGAGACTATTATAATTACAAGTTAAGAAGATTTTCATTTTATAGCTAAACATACCAAATTGTAAGTAGATATGTTTTAGATTGACTTTTAAGAAAATCAAATTTGCTTTTCCTAGTGAATCTCTTTATTCACAGTTGAAATTAAGGAAAACATTTTTGCTTAATATTGATTCATTGTAGTGAAGGACTGAGGACAATTTATTTTATGGTATCCCTGAATAAAATTAAGTGAGGGATGCAGGATCAGAATGATAAGAATATCGGATGACAGTTGGTGGGAATCCTTTTATTATTTTAATTATAACGTCAATCACAATAAAAGCACAGCTAACAATTTCATAAAGAATCACCGAAATGATCTTTTCATGAGTAAATTTAAAGCACTCTATAATTAGCCAATAATATTATATTTATTTATATATGTATTTAAATAAAAATAATTTTAATAGAAAAAAGAAAAGAGATTAAAAAACTTGGTGGACATAAGAGTATATTTATTATGAGAGTGTTGGCTAAAAGACCTCGTATCCCAGTTTTAAAAATATGGATATGCCATAAACCAATTTGATAGAATGACTTTTATATTTGGATTAACGGTTCTCATAACCCTTGTATTATGCTGGCACTTTTGCTTTGAATAATCGAAAAGGTCAATTTAGATCCTAGACTTCAAAAAAAAAGTCAGTTGTAAGCAGATAATGCACGGTATTACTGATTTATAACCCGTTAACTAATGCACGGTACTAGTGACTTTGTTTGCAAGTGGATCCCACTAAATAAAATAAAAATCATTTAAATTATAAATTAATAAATATTGAGAATAATATATAAGTGGGTTTCATTTAAAATTTTCTCTTTTAAGAGAAAGTTATGATTTTCAAAACGAAGAATTGATCAGGTGACCGATTCCATTTTTTCTCAAAACTGGAATTTTACAAAAAAATATTGATTTGGTCAGTAAATCATTGACCCGTGTGATTGAACCGTTTGAACTATTTTAATATTTTTGTTTGGACGGGCCATCAGTTTGACTTGAAAACCGAACCCGTGACCAATTCGTTGTCCGATTCGCTTGAAGAAAATTATAGGTGTGCTCCACTTAAAATTTTCTCTTTAATTAATGACTCTCTCACTCACTCTACCGAATTTCCCTCCCCAGTCTTCTCCCTCCTTTCCACCTGCCACCGCCATTTTGCAACTCTCAACAGCGGCGGATGATACTCATCGAGAACAAAGAAATCATTTCTCTCAACCGGTCAAAACATATAACTACCAAGTAGAAAACAAGACTTGCAGTCTTTCATCCGCATTGCTCACCCACTGATACTTGTTAGTAGCAATCGTTCTGAGAGCAAACACCACAATTCTCGTAAACTTAGCCAAATTCCTCGCAGCCTTGCCATCAGTCTTGGATGTCTCCCTCAACTAACAAGAACACCTTAATCCAAGTTACCCAATACTTGATGAATGGGCCCATCTCCCCAATCACGACAGAAGCCAAATTTGCAGGAACCTGAAGTGTGATCACAATCATCAAAACCTTCTTCTCCCTTTCTTGTAAGAACGGCTTCAAGAACGACCATCCCGTGCCAATCAAGATGATGACAGTGAAAAGCAACACAACCCTGAGAAACTGGAACAAGTAGAACAGAACATCCCAACCGTAGGGGGTACCAATGACCTTGGCATAGTCTTGTCCGCAGCAGCGCAGATCAAATTCAAGGCCTTAATAAGGAGAAAATCAGCCATCCAGAGATGAATCCGGTGGACTGAGAGCTTGTTCGTGTAAGATCCAAAACACTAAGAAGGCTAAGTAGGACAGGGAGAAAGAAGAAAGAGAGCATAGGGAGCTGGGTCTGGCCTGCGGGGAGGTAGTCTTTGACGTCGTTGTCAATGTTGTTGATCTCAGTACGAATTGCCATGGTGACCTGACTCTGTGGTGCGCAATTAGCGAAGAAGAGAGTGTATTCATTGGGGTCGATGACGGGGTACGAATTGTTGATGGAGGTGCGTTGGGCTGTTAAGAGGACTATGAATGTGAAGAGGGAAATGGTGTAATGACTGTCAAGGACGCAGAATTAGGGTTTTGCTCGACTTCTATGAGGACTTGAATGAGGGCGGAGGGTCTTCTCCAGAGGAGGAAGAAGCCGAATCAAGAGGGATCGGGTTGGGACAGAGAAGAAGTGTAATACATCGTTGACTGCCACGGTAACGTAACCAGTGTGGGAAGGAGAAATAGGAACGCAATGAAGAGGACTGGGAGAATATTTCTTCCCATGATGCAAAAGTTGCAGAAGCAAAGAAAGAGTTGCAGCGGATGTAGAGGATGGAAAGGATGGAGAATCATCCGCCGCTATTGAGAGTTGCAATGGCAGTAGTGGGTGGAAAGGAGGGAGAAGATGGGGGAGCTAGATTTGGTAGAGAGAAGGACCCACCTATTAAAGAAAAAAAAAATTGGGTCTTTTCTGTTCAGTCTACCTCTGAAATCTTAGTTCCATCATACAGTTTAAATTTGAATTATTGTAGATCTGAAATTCAAATCAGAGTTCTAAGGTGGAGTGAAATCTACAAATCCCAAAAAAATTTAAGTGGGGCCTAACTATTACTTTATCTTAAAAGAGGAAATTTTAAATGGGATTCACCATATATTATTTTCAACATTTATTAATTTATAATTTAAATTATTTTTATTTTATTCAATGGGACTCACAATTTTTCAGTTTTTCGAGTTTATTAATGTTACGTCAGTATTTCCTATTATTTAATTTATTATCTAATGGATTATAATCAATGTCACCAACACGTGTGTTATTTGCTTACCATTGGCCTTTTCTTTGAAGTCTAAGGTCTAAATTGACCATTTTGATTGTTCAAGGGTAAAAATGCCTTTTTCCTATAATACAAGGGTTGTAAGAGCCTTTAATCCTTTTATCACCCATTTAATGTAGGTAGTATAGTAATATTAGAAGGCTAGAACCTTGTATACAAGCTGATTTTTGTGCCAATAGCTAACTTTTTGGTAGAATTAATCTGATATTGGGTCCCATTAATGCTCAAACATGGAATAGCTTGCAGGTTATGTGGCCCCTAACCCTATAAAACCCACAAACATGTCCAATGTCCTTAGATCTCAGCTTTACTCAGTTTTTTAAATCTTCAAAATAAGACTGTCAAAATTTAAGGAAAATTTATGATGCAGAAAAGATATAGTATGGAAAAAGTTTTGACTAATCAGAGTCCACCCATGAATTTTGATAAATTACACCTGATTGGCTACTATGTTTACAACTTCAGTTGACTAGTCAGAAATTTTTAAGATATCATATCTTTTCCATATCATGGTTGAACCCCAAAATTTAATATTCAAATACATCCCTGATTTTGAATTTGGTCCTTATCTAATTTTGGAAGCACTTGAATTAGTACTTTTCACCTCATTCGTTTTTCTCTTTTTCTCTCATTAAGTCCTATGTCTAAGGTATTAATTCCTATTTTACTCACCAATAAATTCTATAAATTAGATCTAAATTCATTACTTTTAATAATATAAAACTAATTAAAAGGAAATAAGTGTAAAATTAAATAAATAAAAAATATCCAAAATTTTGGCACATCTCTAATATTTTCTATTAATCATATTAAAGAAGACTCAAGTTTTTATTGATAATGAAAATGAAACACAAAATTTAAACTGACCCAATAGTCAACAAGTCAACCTTTAGTCTCAAATTTATTAACACTTGATGTCTAATGTATGTACGCATATACAACTATGCATCCATAGATGTATATATCCATGTATTTTTGTATATTTTGCTACAAGTATTTATGTATACATATTTATCTATCTATACATGTATGCATGTATATTGCATATCATGAATTTTTAATTTAAAGTGATGTTTTATAAACATTAACTATGTTGTTTTACACATAATAATGCTAATATATATTTAATTAACATGAACCCTTAGAATCTAAGAAATAAGTACATTTGGCAAAAAGTAGAGAAGTCGAACCCAACTTGAACCTGAACTAAACCCAACACAAACTTTTTGGGTAGGGGATAGGGTTTTAACAACTTAGGGTTGGGTTAGGGTTAACCTCAATCTGACCTAACCCGTCACAACTTGCACTGCTAATGATGATGATGATAATAGTTATAATGTGTCAAAAATTTTCACAAAATTTTTACATTTCTTTATGTATAAAAATAACTCTTATTTATCATACATTTTAATTTGGTAAT